CCCCTCTCTCTATATAAAATCTTTAAAAAAATAAAAAATACTTCTCATACTTTGACATAGTCCCACGCACTGTGCTGTTACCTAAGGACTAAGTCGTAACACTAACTTCCCAAAACTTACATATAAAACTAACATGGGAAGAGAGAGAAAAAGTTTAGTATGTACAAAGATGCCATGCATACATAACAAACAGAGAAAAAATATGCAAAAATACCACAGTTCCTGTTTTTCTAATGGTCCCGAAGCTGTTTTAGTAGTCAGTCACTGGTGGCTTTCCTACGGCCTCATTTCTTCTACATTTATTAGTTGGCGTTCTACTATAAGAAGACCTTGTCTCCTGTGTCCTTTATTTATTTGTTTGTTTGTTTATATTACTCTGGACTTATGTATTCTTATTTTAGTCACTGGGTGATCATATATGACTGTCATATTTTATCTGATGCTCTGCAGCTGACTAACAGGAGCCCTTATACACCGACTCCTGGCATTTTGACGGGCTTCCATTGTTCTTCGAGTCCTTCCTTACACTCTGGCACAGGATGCTCTGGGACCGCCTTGAACTTCCTCAACCCCAGCGGTACAGGCAACTATTTTTCCAAGAAGCCGTGGCTCCTTTTGTGGAGAATGGTAGCGAGCAACCAATATTTAGATGCTAAATGTGCTCATTCCTTTTGGAATGTCACCGCTTCCAGCAGACACATCTGGAGAATGTGTGTGTTGTGTGTACTCCTATGTATACATATACATCTATACATACAAACATACATGTATGGCTAGATTTATCTCTATATCTCCTTTTATATGTATAAAATACCACAAGTTCATACTTGCTAAGAACTGAACTGTGTCCCTCAAAATGCATCTGTCGAAGCACTAACTTCCAATGTGACCACATTTGGGTGAAGAAAGTAAGGTTAAATGAGGGCGTGCACAGGGCGGCGCCCTGATCTGATAGGGTTTGTGTCCTTATAAGAAGAGACACCAGAGCTCTCTCTTCCTCTGCCATGTGGGGACACAGTGAGCATGTGGCCGTCTGCAAACCGGAAAGAGAACTCTCACCAGAAACTGACTGCACTGGCGCCTTGATCTCGGCCTTCCCAGCCTCCAGAACTGTGAGGAAACACATTTCTGTTGCTAAGCCACCAATCTGTGGTGTTTTGTTATGGCAGCCCAAACTGACTAATACAAAACTGACCTTTCACATCCATGATTGGTATTTTTGTTTGTTTGCTTTTAGTGTTTCAGTAATGTACCCTTTGCCTGTAGGACTTTGCTATTTTTGGCCTGTTCAGGTTTTAAGTTCAGAGAAGAGGGCTGTAGTAAGACCATGTATAACATCCTAAGCAGAAGGGCACTTAAGAAAAAAAGTTTAGAATAACCACTGTCATTATCAAGAAAAACAGAGCTGACTACTAAGCCACACTGTTGCTTGTCAGCAGAGTGTGAAACTTCCCTCTCCTCTCCCTAGAAGTAGACGGATAGCAACAAGAAACCCAAGGGAACAAGTCTCAGCTCCACTGGGGGACCACTTGCAACTAACTGTCCAGCTACTTGAACAACTTCTGCAGGTAGAGAGGGAAGGAGTGGAATGAATGCTGGCTTGGAGTCTGTAGCAAGGTGTATGTTAGGCAGGCACAGTGTCTCTAGCACCTCACTTCATCCCCACAGCAACACGGAGAAGTGGGTATGATTATTCCCATTTTACAGATGAGGTAATAGAGAGGCAGAGAGTTTAAGTAATTTGCTCAGAGGTGAACAGCTAGACCCCTTCCTAGACTCTTCTCCCCTAAAAACCAACACCTTGCTTAGGACCTTGCTTATTGTATTTTGCAACACAATAGCTTGCGGCAAAATGAGAAATGTGAGGTCCTATATGTACTTACCAAAATATTCTCCACATTTGGAACCAAATGGAAAAAGAGGATAAGAGCTCTAAAAAAACGTGACGGTATATAAAGTTTTGTGTTGCCCAATTTGTTCCCACACTATCATCAGCCCTCAATGAAGTGGATGGACAAGGGACTCAATGGTGGGTGACCTGTGCAGGAGCTGTGGGTTGATGAGAAATTACTCTTCCCATTGCAAACTGATGCAGGATCATAAAACAAGCAACAGCCTGTCTTTATTTTAAATGTTGATTTTTTTTCATTGTGAATGTTTTGCATTAATTTTGATTTTTTTAAATATTACTTTAAAATATTGATCTTGATAACTGAGTTTTGGGGGGCACCTTCTTAGACACTGTGCCCAAAGAGTGTTTCTGATTCCCCTCACCTTAACCAGACTCCTAGTAAAACCAAGGCTTGGATTGAATGACTCCAGGGTTCTATCCCCAGGGTTGACCTTCTCCAAAAAGGGCCCTCTGAGGGCGTGGATCTGCAGTCCCCATGTCCTGCATGGTCCACACAACTGTGGAAGTGCCCCATCTTTTCTTCAGAAATACTGAACCATAAAGCTGCAACAACAGAAATGGTTCCATTGCGTAGTAAGCACATGGTCACATGCCTGCAAAAATGTTTGGAGACATCACATATTCTCCACCCAGGCTTAGTCACATATGACCCAGAATTCACAGGTTCCCAATTCCTATGCTGGTATGCTCATCTGAGCTCATGGTGTCAGAATTCCTAGGCTCTCCAAGCACTGATTTGCCAAGAGGTTGGCCTTCCTGTTGCTTAGAATGGGGTAGACAGAGTCTGTGACTCAGAAGCCCAGCCTCCCAGTTTACCAATCTGCACAGTCCCCTTCTTAGCCAAGCAGTTGGCTGATAGGGTTCTCAGCACTACTTTCTATTGGAGAAGAATATTGCTGATTTCTTTGCTTTTTTCAATCTTTCCCCAGGGCTTCAGGAAAACCAAAGAGAAGCCACTGTTCAAACCCTTTGAACTACAGCAATGTACATGCTGATGTAGTTTTTTGTGTAGGACAGAAAGAAGAACTGGAAACAAGGATAAGGAAGAACAGCTCCCCAACATCCCTTCTACCTTGCGAAAAGGGATTCACAAACCCTGGCGAGTTGGCTCCTATTCTTTGCCCCTCAGAAATTTTACAGAACAAAAATCAAATGACTATGAAGTTGAGCTCTGTAGTGGAAAAGGAGTCAGGAAGACCTAGCTGCCTATTCACAGACACCCTTCCTGACTATTTTAGAACCGGTGCACAAAAAAAGCCCTAATTTTCCAAGGAAGTAATCAAGTATTTCTCAAGACCCATACTGGATAACCTACAACCACTCCTGCAGCCTCTAATCCAAGCTCTTGCCCAAGTGACCTTCTAAAAACACAAATGTGATGAAATAACAAATATTAGTAAAGTGCTGACTGGCATTACTTGCACATAGTAAGTGCTATTAAATGTCTATGAAATAAATACATATAATTGTATTCTCCTTGGAGGATCATCACAAGAAGAAATGGAAACTACTGTCTGCCTCTGTCTTCTGCTTCTTTACCATTCTCTCTCCTTTGGTAGCCTTACATTAGGCCTAATTTCGAGTCTTTGGTCAGGGTACCTGCTGGCCTTAACACAGGTTTTTTTGCTCCCCTTCCTTCCTTCCTTCTTCCTTCTTTCCTTCCTTCCTTCTTCCTTTTTCCTTTCCTTTTTCTATTCTCACCCGAGGACATATTTATTGGTTTTTGAGAGGGTGAAAGGGAGGGGGAGAGGAAGAGAAACACGGATTGGTTGCCTCTCCTACACACCCCAACCAGGACTGCAACCTAGGCACCTGCCTCAGAGGGGAGCCCAGGACGTTTTTTGTTTACTGGATGACTCTCCAACCGGGCCACATCGGCCAAGGCCTATTCTCTCGTTCTTAAACATTCTTCCCACACCCATTTTTCGTGTGACCAACTTCATATCTCAGCTTAAATGTTACTTCTTCCTTCAAGGAGCTCCCAAAGAATGCCTAGATTCCTCCATTTTACCCTCTTATAGCCGCAGTGTTTATCACAATTGTAATCACAACTAAATGTTTTAGGGGTTTTTTTCTTACTAAGTCACCAGTTTATTATAAAAGAATATAACTCAGGAACTGCCAAGTGGAAGAGACGCGTAGGACAGGGCATGGGAAAAGGGCACTGAGCTTCCATGCCCTCTCAGGCAGCCTCTCTCCCAGCACCTCCACGGGTTCACCAATCCGGAAGTTCCCAGGCTTATTAATGTCTGCCTCCCACTAAGCTGTAAACTTCCCCAGGAGAAGGGCTTATAGGTGTTTCCTGTTCAATGCCAGTCTAGAAGCGCTCACAGGGTGGGTCGCTAGTGGACCACCATCGAATGAATGAATAAAAACCTTTTTAATACTGTCTCATTTAAGTAACTGGCTGAAGGTAGCACAGCTGATCCAAAATTTGAATTAAGACATTCTGGCTTTGAAGCCCAGGATTTGTCCACCGCACTGACTATCCCTTCCTCTCCCCCCAAAGCTGAAGCTGAAACATAAGTGCTCTGGGGAGTGAGTTAAAGCAGCTGCAGGTCTTCTTGCAGAGGGCCACAAGCTGCAAGGAACCGGCGTCGGGTCCACAGGCCTCGAGCTCAGGGAAAGGGGCACCCATCACGTGTACGCTGCAGGACCAACCGCTGCCGCACCCCAGGGCAGGAATGCAGCCTCGCCCCAGTCCCGCGCCAGCAAAACCGCGTTCACCCTGGGGACTGACGTCAATGAAGGCGGGGCGCCTCCAGGAGAGAAGCGTGGGCGGCCGAGGGCTTGGGTAGGAACCCGGACGGACACGCCCCTCATCGCTGTTCCGACGCTGATTGGACCCGGGAATCTAGGCACTCGGGTTTCGAGGCCTGGGGTGGGAAGGGGGAGGAGCCATAACACGCCCCTCGCTCTCTCTAGTTGCTGATTGGCCAACGGAGTCTCCGCGTTCGATTTTGGAAGGCTTGTTATGGAGCTCACATCAAGGTTCGGCTGAGGATTGGCTGTTCCTGAGCTGGGGAGCGCTTTCTCCGGAGAGCCGCGGCTGTGACCGAGGTGGCCGGCCTCAGATAGCCAGGTACGTAGGTTCGTGATCCAGCTTCTGCTGCGCTGATAGCGGGCGGGTGAGCGAGTCATCAGAGCCGGGGTACGGCCAGGACCCAAGCCCCCAGATCCACCGACGGCCCGTTGTTGTGCAGAGCGCCACGTCCGAGTCCCGGGGTCCGACCTGTTCTGGGGATTTCGCCGTGTGATCTCCGTCAGGATACCCCTTCCCAAGCTCTCGACCTGTAGATAAACGCCGCCTGGTCCTTGTGAACACCTTCGCAGCAGAAGCAAGCCCAGAGCTGCGTCCGCCCTTTCAAAAGGCCGGGTAGGGGTAAGGTTTGGGGTAGGCGCATCTTATCTTGCCCCATCCCGATTTGAGGTCCGTCGGCGCAGCCCTTCAGTGTGGTGAGTAATTGCTCTAATTACCCGCGGGGCCATGGAGTGCAAATGGCACAGAGGTTGGCTGGGGAAACTTGACTTTCGATCCCTGCACCTTCCAAAACCTGCAGAAGCAGAGAACAGGCTCCCAGAGGTTTCAGAGCCTCCTGGGTCCTTCCTCTGAAGACCTCTGCAGCCATCTGGCGGGAACAAAAATAACACAGGTTGAGAGCGCAGGCGCTGGGGTCAGACTACCTGGGTTTTCATATTCTAGCCTTATCACCTACTACCTGTGTGACTTTGGGAAAGTTACTTAACCTTCCTGAACTTAGCTTTTTATCTATAAAATGGGTATAAGCAGTACCTCCTCATAGGAGTGTCATAAGGATTAAAGATATTACCTGTCTGAAAGTGCTGCTCTGTTTTTGACTTGGAGCTAGGTGCCTCAATGGCAGCAATGATTTTAAAGTCCCCAGAGGACTCTATCACCCTTTACCATCATCTCCCAAGAGTGAAGGCCTCTTTTGAGGGAGTGTCATGATAGTGGTGATGACAAAAATGGGTGGTTAAACAGCCTTTCCCTTACACCACGCTTTCATAAAGTAATGTACTGGGATGGATGCTTCCGGTATACTTTATCTCCCTTATCTCCTTAGGGGTTATGTGTTCTTACCATTCTGACAACGAGCAAATTGAGGCAGGGGAAAACTGGGGCTTGCCAAAATTACCTCCTTATCAGTGGCACAGCCAGAATTCAGGGTTCTTGAACTGTTGAAAAAAGATATGCCTGGATCTAGTAGGACTTTTTTCCAGGTCATATCTGAGAATCGGTCTGGGGGAAGGGCCCATTTCCTTTCTCCACCTCCTGGGACACAGATTTGGAGGCTGAGGCTAGGCCCTTCCTGGTGGGGGCAGAACATGCATCCCTTTGCACTGGGCCTCCCAATTGAGGATCCACAGATTTTGGCTGCTATCCAGTGGCATGTCTGTGCAGGGAACCAGGCCAGGGCCACAAGTGTTGATTTGGGCCTTGGGCCAGAGCCTCCAGTTCTGTTTCTAAGAGGCCCTTGGCCTCCGATTACAGATTACCACCAACAGGGTTATCTAAAGGTGGCGAACCAAGTGAGGAGCCAGTTGCTGCAGAGCTCACACAAGTAGGTTCTGCCTCTCACGGTTACTTACACCTCCCTGAGAGCACAGTGAGCATAGATAGATGTCTTAACTGAGCTTCATACATTACAAAGAGTGCTCAGTAATGCACCATATTTATAAATTGCAAATCCGTTGCATGGTGAGTCACTTTTTAACTATATTTCTTTGTTAGAGCTAATAGTTCCTTTACTGCCTGTTTCAAAGCTGAACTTTGTCACTTTCAACGTTTGGTGTTTACTTGGGGGGGTTCATTTTTAACTTAGTTTGTGTCAAATTGATTTTGTGATTAGTCTTTATGTATTCCCTTATGGACTTATCTTTTTTGTCAGTTCTGAAATGGAAGATTCATTTGGAATCTTTTAATAGCCCTGTCGTTTCATCTTCCAGTTTAAAAAGTACCATTGTTCAAGCATTTACTGACTTACAGGAACAAGTATAAAGGACACATGGACAAAAACTGGGGGGGGGGGCAATGGGAGGGAGGTGGGGAGGGCTGGAGGGGGTGGGCTGTGATGTGAGTAAAAGACAGAACACTATACATGAACAACAATTAGAATTTTTAAAAAGTAAAATGCAAAACCTTAAAAAAGAAAGTATTTATGGACTTCCCTGGACTCAAGTCTTGTCCAGGAAATAAGGAAGAAAGTAACTACTGAACACATTGAAGAGATAGGAAGTTTCTTCTAATAATAAAAGTGTTCTGATTCAGTTTTCCCCAAGTTTAAAGTCTAATCCTACCTGATATGGCTGATTTTTATTATCCTAACTCTGCTGTCTGAACCCTGGGGTGGGAGGCAGAACCCAGAGTAGGGGCCTCAAAATCTGGAGGTGCCACCCCCCACCCTGAGGCTCATAGAGGGTGTGCTGGAGGCTCAGGCACCCCCAGGTGCTTTCTCGCTAGTACATTTCTCTCTGAGAGGCTGGAGGTAGGGCCTTGCAGGGCCTTTGCAGCCCTGGCAGAGGCAACTGGGACTATCTGGGAAGTCAGGCTCCAAGCCATTTCCTCCCTGAGGCAGCTGCCATTCTCATGAGGGGAGGGTGAGACTGACTGCGTTTGTGAGGAGGGACATGACCCCTTCTCCCACCACTCAGATCTCCCAGGAGTCTGTCCCAGGCTTGGACATAGCCAGCCCAGGTCACTAGAGTGCTTTAGAGCAGTGAGTTCTCTTTTACCAGACCCTAACCCCACAGCCCACAGTGGCAATGTCTGTCCTCCAGGGGAGATTGAGAAGAGGAGCTACTGGTTGGGGTGTCTTGTGATACCTAATTAGTCAGACCTGTCCACACACGTTGCTCCTAGGCCCTGGCAGACAAGCAAACCATCTCTTCGTTCAGACCTAGCCTTCTCGTGGAATTGTTGACTCACCACCAGCACAGGCCCTTGGTGACCATCAGCATCTACCTGTTCTTATGGATGTAAGAGGAAACAGGCCCACAGAAACATGTGAAGTGCCTGAGGCCTCTCGGTCACCGAGTGGCAGAACTGGGGCTCAAACCCAAAGTCTCGGATTCATAGTCCAGTGCTCTGTGCCCTGGGTTGAATTGTACTCCAGATTTCTCTAGTGGAAGCTAGAGATCTTCCTCTTCATGCTGCCATGGGTTCAAAACTGGAGCTGCCTGCCACCCAGAGAACAGCCCTGACGTTAGAGAAAAGACTCAAATAAATTCCACACCCCACCCTTGCCTCCCGTGTGGGGTATTCCGTGTTCTTTCCCTGCTACTGATGGGTTTTCCCTTTTGTGAATGAGCACTCCTCACAGATGGGAAGAAATGTGCTTTGAGCTGTTTGGCTTTGGAGACAAATAGGTTGTTTAAAAGTGTGGCTACAGTGGCTCAGTGGACATAGTGCTGGCCTGCAAACCAAAAGGTCGCCGGTTTGATTCCCAGTCAGGGCACATGCCTGAACTGAGGGCCAGGTCCCCTGTGGGGGGTGCAGTGGGGGACGTGCAAGAGGCAGCCACGCATTAATGTTTTTCTTCCTCTTTCTTCCTCCCTTCCCCTCTCTCTAAAAATAAATTTTTAAAAAATCTTTTAAAAGAGCCTGGACTGCAGTCAGACTAGGTTTTGGCCTTGGCTGAGCCCCTGGTACTTATGTCTATGTCTCAGCTTCCCTTTGCTCGCCTGTGAACGGGGGTGAAGATAACAGCGGCTGGTGCCTAGACTTCTTTTCAGGGTGAGATGGTGTGGGCACACTGCCTGATGCAGAATAAATGCCCGAGCCAGCTTTGGTTTCTCTTTACCAGCCTGAAAGTGTTACTTGGTGACTACTGTTTTCTGGCCATAATATGTTTATATAATTCAGTTTTGGGGGTTTAATTACCACACGTTAGGTTTGGTAAAACCTACCAGATAAAAAGTACATTTTTAATGAAGATAATTCATCTAAAACTCTTCTGCAGATTTATTTTAGTTATTAAATCTTTTGAAGAAAGTGAGTTCTTATGCTAGAAGGCCTAGAAACTAGGACAGAGAAGTGTAGAAATTACGGGAATTGGGAGGGTGGCTCTTGAGGTGAGGGGGGGAGGCCAGGGTAAGGGGGGACAGTCATCATCTGGGAAGTCAGACTGGCATGGAGAGGTGGCTCCCACACTCTGGAGACTTCATTATCCAACATGCACTATCTAGACCTCAGGGAGATGGCTTAATTTTCATATCCTGGATATGGGGGGCGGGCATTGCCATGAGCTAACTTTTACTGAATTTTCTTGTAAACTTCAGCCTCTGTCCTGTGATAAGAGTATCCTAACCCTGTATGTAGCTTTTTCTGCCCCTTTCTCTCTATGGTCCTTTGGACTGTAGTTAGATGATTTAGCAAAGAGTCTGTTTCATACTCTTTGCTAAATTACACAAGAGTGGGGCAAAAGTAGGTTTACAGTTGGGAGTACATGAAACGGAGTTTATTCTTGTATTGTTATTCCCCGTACAAACAACTGTAAACCTGTCTTTGCCCCACCTCGTATGGACTTGGTTCATCCCCAGGGTCTTGAAGCTAGAAGGCAGGATGACTCTTGTCAATTTTATGGGTGGAAAAGCAGAAGAGTAGGACACTGAGCACTGTGTCTTCACTCTGTCCTCACAACCACCCTGCGAAGCTGATGTGCTTACCCAGGACTGGATGCGGTGCGTCACCAGGGAGTGGTCGAGGCAGCCCCGGATGCCAACCTGGGTAGCCAGCTCCACACCCCCCTTTCGCTTCTGTACCCTAGAGCCTGGGCCTCGGTGTCAGAAACCTGGATTCTGTCCCTCGGTGTCCTTATCTGCGAGGTGAGGATGACAGCACCTCACAGGGCTGCTGTGCTCACATTCTGATGGTGTGAGGCGAACATGGCTCTTCCAGGGGCGCCTGACACACGTGAAGTGCCTGCCACATTTCAGCTCTGCTGCTGGTGTCATTAAGGCCTGGGCGTCCTAGGGTCTGCCTGGACTCGAGCCAGACAGGCCGGGTTCTCCTGGCCCTGCACTTACACAGGGTTTGGTTTACGGGAGAGTCACCGAACCACAGTCAACTTCTTCGTTGGTAAAGTGGGGATAAACAAGTCTTACCTCCCAGGTTCCTGTGAGTCTTAACACGTGTCAGACACACAGGCACTCTATCACAAAGTGAGCCTGTCATCAACACTGTTTCCCCACGGTGCCCTGGGAAACCAGTGATCTCAATCAGGACTTACTGCACTTTGCCTCTGACAACAGCAACACCAGAAGTCCTCGTATTAGTCAGGGCCCCCAGGTTTGGGAAGGGCCTATGGAGCTGGTAATGATGTCCGTCCATCTTTCCTTCCCCAAAGCACCCAGGATGGGCACCCCAGCCTCTGTGGTGAGCGAGCCACTCCCCTGGCAGGCCCCACCTGAGGCCCGGGGCCGCAAGCAGGCGTCAGCCAACATCTTCCAGGGCGCTGAGCTGCTGCAGATCCAGGGCCTGTTCCAGCGCAGTGGGGACCAGCTGGCTGAGGAACGGGCACAGATCATCTGGGAGTGTGCAGGGGACCCCCGTATGGCAGAGGCTTTGAGGAGGCTGCGCAGGAAGAGACCCCCAAGGCAGAAACCCCTGGGCCACTCGCTACACCACTGCAGCCGGCTCAGGTAGGTCCCTGGGACTGGAGGGCGGAGGGCGGGAGGACACTCATGCCCGTCCCAGCAGTTCCTGGCTGTGGGACCTGGGGCTGCTGACCTGGCCTCGCCGTGAAGTGCCTACCATTGGGATTATCATAAGGTCTACACAGTGCCTGCCACATGGAGGCACTTGAAAGGCTGCTGTTCTATTGGAGTCTTACATGACCCTGTGAATTCAGGTGGGAAGGGATGCCAGGATCCTATCAGTGCCACCTCATTTCACAGTGACTCTTAACAGGTAGGAAGGCTAGTGTTTGGAAGGGAAAACAATTCCTATTTACCTATTAAAGAGGAGGTAACATTCAATAGTCAGCCTGGTGAGAATCTTGGCTGTGTAATCAGAGAGAATACAGCACAACAAAGTGCTGTAGAGGCATCAAAGGTTAAAACTGAGAAACTTTACCCAGTCAACCACCTCTTTGCTTAGGTCACTGCCAGCCCAGGAACAGGGGATCTCCCCAAGAGATCAAGCTGAACCACACGGCCTAACCCAACAACTACGGGTATACACGGGCGTCATTCCTTCTCTGGGGCCCAGTCAAAATTAGACCTTAACAAGCCTTCTGAAATCATCAGGTCCGTATTAGTTCCAATTGGCCAGTAATCCCTACTTAACATATCTTGGTAAGGATCCTTGTATGACTTACTAATGTCTGCTGTGAGTACAGGAAGAGGAAGTTGGGAAAATGCTGAGTGGTACTCACCCCGATCTAGTCCCACTCTGCACAGAAATCTGAAAGCTTTTGCCTCTCATGTAGCTCTCCGGGGGCAGAGATGAGACCAGACCCCTGGTCTCCTTTTACCCCAATGTTTTAATAGTTTGCATGATCAAAATCCTTAGTCCCCATTCTGTCCTTCCGGTTGATGTTGGCATATCATACACTTGTTTCCTGCAGAATCCCAGAGCCCCACAATCCACTGGCCGACCCACAGAGCAGTGCTTCCGGCGACCAGTACCTGAACACTAGGAGGACAAGTGCCAGGATCCGTCGGAACTGGAGGAAGCCAGGCCCCACAAGCTACCTCCATCAGATCAGACACTGATCCAGGGAAGGGGCTGGGAGCAGCAGTATCTCCCCCAGGAATCATAGGCACTTTTGCCAAAGGGCCCGGGAAGATGAAGGAGGAAGAGACTTGAGGCAGACGGCCCCACACGCTGCTGCTGGCCTGCTCAATTCAGAACAGGATTGGAGGTGTCCACTGAGCTCTCCATTGTGTGGGACCCTTTCCTCACCAGGAGAAACAGCGTCCGTTCTCGCCTTGACCCTTTCCCATCTAACACTATACTTGGACTGCATGACATTCCCGCTGGACTCAAGTGACGGGCACTCAAACTAATCATCTCACCACTCCTGCTACTAACCTTCCTGCTATTACGACCAATGGCCAAGCGGCCTGTCCTGTACCCCTGTCCCTGTCAGGTCACACAAGGAAACTGGTTTAAGTGGCAAAATAAAAACATTTGCATCAAGAACTGTGTGAGTCTGTCACAGAAGGGGAGGGTCCCACAATGGATACTCTGGAGCTGATGGGTGTGGGATTGGGCACATTGCAGGAAAGCGTGTTCCCAGGAAGAAAAGAGGGCTGGCGTCCTTCGCTTCCTCCCCGCCATCCTGTAGAGCCCCTGTGCGGAAGCCTCCTTTTTCAGAGGTGGTCAGATGGAGAGAGGGACACATCTCCACGGTGAGTCCTGATCCTCAAGAGAGAAGAGGGTTCCTGGCCCCTGGCCAGATCTAGGAGGAAGGCCATTACCACCAGCACTGCCGAGTGGGTGGTGCGCCCAGTCACGTGAATGGGCACCAGCTCCTCAGCTGGCTTCTTCACCCCACTGGCCAGACATCCAGAAGTGGGTCAAGAGCTGAACCAGTTATCCTTGCACTTCCTGCATTATCCAAGGTTTCCACAGCCCCAAAACCCTTGAGGTGAGCCTCAAAAAAGCATACCATGTGCTCATTCGCCTTTAGCTCCCCTCCCACCAACTATCTGCTTGATTACCCATCACTTTATTATTATATTATTATTATTATTTTGATTATCCTTCACTTTAAAGGAGCCAGGGTTCCTTGTGCTCCAAGCACATGCAGAGGGCCACCCTCTGGTCAAGAAGAGAGACCCGTCCATATTCCTTATTACAAATCCCTGGGGCTAGATGATTTGGGAATTCAGAATTTTGTTCAGCTGTTTGGAAGTGATAAGTGTAAATACTGTATAATCCCTACTAGGAGAATATCTCAACAAAACAGTATTTCTGCAACAAATATTCACACTAAGGAATATGACGACGGTCATAAATAGCTTCAGTGTAGGTTCAGGTCAGTTTCGGAAGCTAGGTTATGAAAATATTTTTGGTTTTCAGAGCACTGGGACTTTGGAAATAAGGACCTGTATTCCCCCTACTGGAGGAAAATAGACTCAAGAGCCATGTCTCAGTCAACTCAGGGAAACACAAGATTCTCTGTCCTTAAAATTGTATTCTACCTCGTCTTCCTTCCACCATAAGAAAAAAAGACAAAAGTTCAGAATCAGATTTGTTATTCATACATTTGCATTGATTTAAATATATTACATACAATTTCTACAGTGCATTAGAAGAACAATACAGAGGCAGCAGGACTCTCACGGCCCAGCCTCTACTCCCTGACACTGAGGGATGGGGCCTATGGCTGGCAGAGGGCTGGGCCATTCCATGAGTGCCACCCAGAAGCACTCTGGGTCCCTGGCTTTACCCAAGTCCACATTCAAGGCAACCTGAGTACAGGCTTCAAGGAGAACAGACAACAGAGGCCAGGGAAGGATCCCCCCACCATCGCCACTCTCTTGCCTGCCAGGACTGGGACCAGCCCCCTCTGTCATTGGAGCCAGTTTCCTTCTCACAGAGCCGGTCTGGATGAGGGCAATGTGCAGATCTGCTTGGCTGGGGGCAGCAACCAGGCTGCTCTTCAGACCCTCAGGTTTCACTGACACCCAGATAGGGAGCTTTACCACAAGTCTGTATCAAGATGTCTATGGAGAGCTAAACACACCTGGGTCCCTTCTGGCCCCTGGAAGCCCTGCTGCTCCTACGGTCTGAGCACAGGCGTTCTCATAAAACGTGGTCCCCAAGGCTAGTTGTCCAGGTCGGCTGACTGGGATTGTCAGGGCTGGGGCCAGCAGGGGAGTTGCGCCTTCGTCCACAGGGCACATGCATCCAGCTTTCACAGACTCTTCCTGTCAGCTGGATGGAAGCCCGGGAGAGGCTGGCTCCTGGGGGCTGGAATGGAAGGAGCAGCCTGGCCCAGCTGACATGGGGGCTGCACATCTCTGCTTTGCCTCCTGGATGGCGGGAGCTGGGCAAGCAGAGGGCAAAGAGCCACAGTCCTTGCTCCCTTTCTTTGGTTGTTTTTCAAACCTTCAAGATAGTTTCTTTCCAAGGCTGATTGACCAATCCGCAGGGTTCCAGAAACTTGAAGTGTCCAGTGGCATAGGGCTGCCCCTGAGCCACAGACAGCATCTTCTTTAGTCCCTCATGAGGCCACTCTTTGCTTTGGTGTAGAAAGGGTTTGGACACCTGGCAAGGGGATAGCTGAGGGCAGGAGATGTGGAAGCAGGAAGCACACTGAGCTGAATAGCGTTGGGGAACAGCTTGAAGGCCTCTCTCCTTTGGGCCCCACCATTCTTAAAAAGCCATGGAAAAATTGGCCTGGATCAAGAATTCAGGGAGCAAAGGGCGGCTACCAATTAGGAGACAGAATACAAGTCCTGTTACCTCCACCAAGCAGCAGTGGTAGCTTAAAAAGAAGTTGGAGGACCTAATATCCTGTCTTCTTAGGAGCTGAGACCCACTCCAGAACCCAAAACTGAACCCCTAAGTCCAGAGTTGAGAAAAGAAACATGTAAAATAACAAACAAATGAAAGGCCTGGGAGAGTTTATCACTTGTGGGTAGGGCAAAGGACTCAGGAAGCAAGGCTGGGGTAAGTTTACCCACAGACCTATTAAACTCCCAGCACACACTCAGGCTACACAAATCCCTTGTACATAATGGTGAGTCCATGTCCTCCCTCCTGCTTTTACCTGAGTGGCAGGCAAACTACAGGCCCAAACTAGAGTGTCTGGGTCCCTAGCAGGGCAGAGAGCAGAGCTGATTGACAGAATCATATACAGAACTGCTAGGAGGTCTAGAGCAAAAGTACCCCCACTGTGGGAATCACATCTGAAGGTTTTCAGTCAGCCTACTGCACTGGTGGGAGGAGGAGAGGACTTGGCAAAATCTCGAAGAACAGGTGTGGCTTCTGTCTGCCCCAGCACTGAGGGTCACACAGCTGCCTTGGCCCCCAGGAGTGAGGAACTGCGAGGCACCTGAATATGTGGGTCCATGCTAATCTAGGTCTGGATTTGAAGTTTCTGATGATGAAAGGATCTGGAATTCTGCCTGGGTTTTGCTAATAATTTAAATTAGTTTTTGTTGTTCGTTTCTGATGCAGAATATAATGAGGAATTGCAACAGAGCAAGATGTCAGGGAGGAAAGGGAATTTCCCAGCCTGCCCTCCGGAGACACTGGAGGCAGATGCTCCGTCCCAGACACCTGAACTCCTTATACAGAGCTCCAGTCCTCTCTGGCACCCAGGAGGGCCCACCAGCACTCACTGCCCCTCTGTCTGTGCTTCTCCCTGTACATGGGAAAGCCCTGAGGGGGTGGTAAGCAGAGAGGGAGGGCTCTCAAGGGCATTGCTCTCTACTGGCTTCTCTGGCTTTTCCTGCAACCCGATCCCCAGGCTTCCTCCCAGCCTAAGTCTCAGACAACACGCCCTTGTCCCCTGTCTTGGGCTACCACCACGAAAAGAAGGGCTTCCGACTCTGAAAGCTCTGTGTGTAAGACTCGCTAGCAGACCGCTGGTGGGAACGGGCCGTCTCAACAATCACGGGTGGCATCTGGACCAGGTGCAAGGGACTCTTGTTGTCTTTCAAGGCTTGAGTCAGATTTAAGATCTGCAGTGGGAAAATGAGATAAATTAAGAAAAGACCTATAAGGCATCCAGGTCTGCCTCTGAAGGGAGACTGGCAGATAAGAGTGCTCCTAGAAATCCATTAAAACACCCCCAAAAACCAGCCCTGGCTGGTATAGCTCAATGGATTGAGTGCCAGCTTGTAAACCGAAAGGTCACTGGTCTGATTCTCAATCAGGGCATATGCCGAGGTTGCAGGCCAGGTTTCTAGTTGGGGGCATGCAAGAGGTAACTGATAGATGTTTCTCTCCCTCTCTTTCTCTCTCCACTACCCTCTCTCTAAAAATAAATAAATAAAATCTAAATTAAGTATCCTACCCTGAAAAATAAAAATTAAAAAAAAAACATGCTAATAGAAAATTATACAAATAGTTACTTTATGAGTAGGAATATAAGTGGGCAATATAAAGAAAAGAAAATGGGCATTCTAGAAAATGACTAGAAAACCCCTCTAGTCATTTTAAAAATAAAAATTATAACAAATATCTCTGATACTTTGCCCTTCCAGTTCGGTAAAGATACAGAAGATGGTGACTCAGAGTTGGGGAGAGTTCGGAGACAGGGCTACAGGACTGGCTGGTGGGACTGTCTCTCTGAAAGGCCAGTGGACAATGAAGACTGAGACATGAACAGGCCAGGCCCTCTGACTCAGCAATTCCATTTTTAGGACTAAGATACAAACAATTGTGAACATGCACAAGACAGTTTTAGCTACAATGCAGTATTGTTTATAAAGTGAAAATGATATAAATGCCCAAGAATATGGGATCAGTTAATAATTTAAGGAATAAGAAACAATTAAAATAGATATTTCTTTGGCATGGGAAGCTGATCACAATATTATTTGAGTCAAAAACAAAAAAGGAGATAAGGAGTATCATAATATGACTTCACTTTTCTAAACTCCTTTCTATCTACCCACCTGCAGAGATAAAAAGTCTGGTAGTTGGCAGTGATTATATGTGGGTCAAGGAATTACAGGTGATTTTTATTTGCTTTTTACCATTTATCCTTATTTTGATTTTCCTATAGAGATCATGTATCTTAAAAAGCCAACATTTCAGCTGGATTCTCCCTCTAATGCTGTCTGTTCATCATCTTTTTATTTAAATAGAATTTATACTTTGGAATAATTTCATATCAACATAAAATTTGCAATGATAGTGCAAAAAGTTCCTGTATATGATTGACCACACTTTCTCCTTATTTTAACATCTTACATAACCATGGTATATTTAGTGAAACTAGGAGGTCAAGGCTGGAACATTACTATTAACCAAAGTCCAGACTTAGTTCAGATTTCATTAGCTTTTCCAGTACTGTGCTTTTTCTGTTCTAGGATCACATCCAGGACACCACGTTGCATTTAGTTCCCTACCAACTTGTGTCTGTATTTTATAGTTATTTCAGATATGAGCCCATGAGAACGCATTCTCTCTCCCTTGTCAAAATTAGAATCACCACCATTTATGCTCTCTGGTAGGATAGT